TCAAAAGTCTGACCCACAAGGCAGTGGGATGACGTAGGGTTTTGTTCGGGGACCCTGACCCTAGCCTCTGACTCAAAAGTCTGACCCACAAGGCAGTGGGAGGACGTAGGGTTTTGTTCGGGGACCCTGACCCTAGCCTCTGACTCAAAAGTCTGACCCACAAGGCAGTGGGAGGACGTAGGGTTTTGTTCGGGGACCCTGACCCTAGCCTCTGACTCAAAAGTCTGACCCACAAGGCAGTGGGAGGACGTAGGGTTTTGTTCGGGGACCCTGACCCTAGCCTCTGACTCAAAAGTCTGACCCACGAGGCAGTGGGAGAATGTAGGGCTTTTTTGGGGGACCCTGCCCGGAGCCGATGACTCAATAGTCTGACCTGCTCGGCTGCTGGGGGTTGGTCTAACCTGAGGGCGCAGGGAATAAGGCATTACTGTCTCATTCCTGATGCGGCTGCGCACAGAAGGTGCCTTTTGAGCAGCACCGGGCTCATTGGTCTTAAAAGTATTTCGACCGTATTGGACAATGCGCCGGCGGTCACGGTCAACCGTTGGGCGATCGGAGTGTGCGGTTTTGGGGGCCGACCTTTTCTAACCCGTCCTTCCTCGGGGGAAGGCGGCATTGCTGCTTCCATAAATATGGACATGCTGGTCGCCTGGGAAAACACCTTACTGCCTTCACACTCCCGTCAGAGAGGACAGTATGACTTCACCCCCAGACCGCCCCGTACCACGATTGCTCGTAGTATGGGGTCTCGCTGCTTTTGGTCTGGCTGCTCCCCTTTGGCCTTCCTGGCATGGTTGCACCTTGTGAAACGAAGTTCCAGCCAGTGTAGCCCGCGGGATCGCTGCAGAACTCAAGCCCGACCACCACGTCAAGGTGGCAGCTTTAGGTCGGGAATTGAAGTGCTGTCAGAAATTTATGTCAATTCAATACCAGTTGTGACATAGGGGTTATTTAGTACGTACGATAAAAGTCAGGAAGGATTGATCTGTGTTTGTAATAAACTTCAGGATAGCGAGGAGAATACAACTAAGTCCGACGTTGGCTCAGGATCGGGCGAGCCCATTTCCTTGTTCCGCTTTGCAATCGCACAAGAACGGATCTGTCGCGTCATGAGAAAAGCCGAACCTGTGCATCTCTTGCGCTTTTTGCCGGTACGATTTTTAGATGACTTGTGCACGTGACTCTATTGTAACGGTAATTTTACTAGGACTTATCGTACACCTGAGACTCAAAGCAGACATGCTGAAATGCATCATATCACTACTCAACTAAAGCCGAAAAAGCTGTAAAGAAGAAATAACTTCAGAAACAGTCATTATCGCTTGAAAAACGAACAGACAAGCTACAGAACACAATAAACGAACCTCATCAGCGCGTGGCTCCACACGAGCAAAAGTAACCAGCAGATTGGCAAGCGCTCCGTTGGTTATCCAGTTTTTACTACCACTGATCGTGTAGGTCTGTCCATCCGATGAGCGAATGGCGCGCGTTTTAATTGCACTGAGATCACTGCCACTATGCGGGCAAGGTAGAAAAAAGACATTTAGGTAGCAGGAAGGCGTAGCCCTTGTTGACGAGCCACTCCCTCAACACTCCATTACCTCCACTAGTCATAAGTGATACGACGTGCAGTACCAGTGGTCGAGTCAATACGGACAATGGTTCCACCGACAGCGGACTCAAATTAACCTTGCACGTCAACTGAATTACAAAAACATGGAACGAAATGTGAACTCGACCAGTAAAGTATATTCCTTTCGTCATGGAAGGACGCAGTGTCACTGAAGAGGCTGAGGATTTAACGCACATCAAACTCATTGGACGTTGGTCGGAATTATGATCTGACGCCGACTCAGCTAATGGTTTCCTGAGCAATTACTTCTACCAAGCTGCTGAAACCGATAAAATAAGGTGGTGTTTTCTGGGAAAATTCCACGCACCTAATAAAAGATGAGTTGAGCGTATCAGGAGCGCGTGGATGGGAAACACTGTCCCGCGAATATAACAGTCTAACACGCAATCGTAGAGACAAAAGACGGTTCCAAAAAACATCGAGAGATAACATACTACAAAGAAGTGGTATATGACGCTACCGGAATATTCATACAGACCATCAATCACTGGATTGAGCAGTTAGGCGGCTATATCGTTCACCCAGGGACCCTGTGGTTTACTTGACAAACTCGTTAAGGACCTGCCGCTACCTTGTTGCTTCTACCTACAATCCGACTGGTCAATCCAAATCACGTTACTAGACACTTTCTCGTCATTCTACTTAACAAAAACTTAACAACGAGTGCCTTTCGGACGTGTGGCAACAATATAACAAACATGGTTTAAAATAAGAAACGGCCATCAACATTGTTTGGTACGTTGGCCATACGGAACGACAAACTCTACGGATGGCACTTCGCTGTTGACCTGGTTCCGAAAGCCCTTGCTAATCATCTGTCCTTTCTTCACAGAACTTCAGTTCCCGAATGTGTGGGACGGCTCCTTATCCTTAGATGCAATTAAGCAGCGGAGTAACGTAAGCCTTCAACATCTCTCATTTTGTACCCTTGCTCGCAGGAGCAAGGACTGTGTGCAGTGGACAGTGTGATAGTGGTTGTCCTGAAGTAATTTTCGATGTGTCTGTCAATTCATCTTCAGGCAAACCGACAAGAAGTAGACACTCACCTGCACAATTCGCTGAGGCAAAATGCGGCCATACACTCTCCAGTGGCTAACGGAGGAAGGAAAGTGAGCTTTTGATCCTCGTTCCCACCAAGGGCAATGGACTAAGAGTGGAATTAGAAAAAAAGGTGCGTATCAGCATAGTCTACAACTGGACCAAACCGGACCGAACTCGGGATAAACGGACAAACGAAACAAACTTTACTGAAACGAGAGAGGCAGATAGACAACCAGAAACGAAACAAAAGATTAGATATAAAGTTTCCGGCCCAAAATCGGTATCAAAAAATGTGATGAGAGCAGCCATACGGAGGATGCAGGAACGATAGAGTACAAAAATTAGACTGTTTGGTTTACTCGGCAACGATCAACTGTCAGGGAGAAAGAAAAAATAACTAACAAGTTTATCCTGTAGACTAAACATGAAAATATTGAACAGCTCATAGAGACCAAGCATGGGGAAAAACATCTGAGGGCCTCGTGCCTTTGAGGGACCAGTAAAATCGGCTTGGCCGCCAAAACTTGCCCCTCCGAACTGGATAGTCTGTTGTAATCGACCATTTCCGGGGTCTCCACAATCGCCATTCTGAAATCCTTGAGCGTCGATGCACAGAATTCAAATTTACTGACACTTGAACCTGTCCAAGTAGCTCGTTTTTAAGCATATTCGACACGAGAACACTGTGCACCATGATAGCTCTACGTTGCTCGGACGCCGATCCCTCACGTAATTTGCAGCAGTACTGGAGATACAAAGCGGCTACTGGCTGACTTCACAACAACCAGGCAATAAAACAGAAGAAACAGGCTGTAACGCAGTTAAAAACCAGGGTTCGCCATACCCGTTTATAAGAACAACTTCCCTCTGAATAATAGCCTGAATTCAGCAGCACGATTTGTGTGTCCAGAAAAATTCGGCAATGTGTCCATCCCTGTTTGTGAAAATAATGTGCCAAATCGACTAAGCTGCTCAGTTCCTCATTCCCTGTTTCGTTCTCAGGTTATAATATGGCCTTCACTGCAGCGTTACAATCAATCATATGGTTCGAAGAAGTTCAGAGAACCAACAATGCTTCGATATACTGAATATCGTTCGGATAGCACATTTAGTAGGAGAATAGCAAAAACGATAAATTCAGTCGGAACTAAGCTGAGTCTCCGTTAAAACCAAGATAATTCGCCAATGACTTTGTAAAAGAATTTGAGGGATGTTTAACCAAGTAAGTCGTAAAGATATAGCCAAACGAGCATCCACCGCAGAGTACTGTATGCCCAAGAATCGGTTTTCCCCAGAATGAGTGACGTTCCTAGACAAACTCGAACGGTGCTACAGAAACACCGAATCTACTACCCAGAGCGTTCTAACGTGATCAGTTCACATGAGGCCAGGTTACATACCCCTATGGAGAGCACCGCAGTGTTGTAAATTCCAGTCGAGACGAAAATCACCGCCAAACGAATATAAGACATAAAACAGCACAATAAAGGCGTGTTAAACACAGTCCGTACCTTAGCTACAATTGAACTTTGCTCCAACTCGGGCAGATACAGGTTGACAGCTGTGGTACCTGAAGACCACACTGGAGTACAGATTACTTAAATAGCTCATTGCAACGATCACAAACATTGACCTTTGTGGCGAGTTTGATTTCGCATAGAAACGGGAACACCAAATAAAACACCAAGGTAGACATTTACGAAGAGTATAGTTACAGAACACGTGGGACATATACTGCGTTGCACCACCCTAACAATTGGAAAACGGCAGTCTTCTGGCTTATGTCATGGGAAGGGCTTGCAACGAATCTGGATTCTTAGCGAAGTACATAATGTACCCTTTTTCAGGCCTACAAACGCCATGCTCAAATAGGTATTGCCACTTTCACTCCAACTTGAGGGCATAGTAGCCTAGGTAGGACAGTTTATGCTATTCAGCCTGCGGAGAATCTTTGATTTTACAACACATTTCTGTTAAGCATCTCGAATATTCGTTACGACTTAACAGGTTTATTTGAGGCCATCACAGGGTAGTGGTGTATGATTTGTAAAGGAAGGTGAGAGGAGTACTAGTAAAATTCCCTTGAACAGGACATGCATAACTGATAAGTTAGCACTGAGGCGAAGCTCGGAGCCAGTGCTTTTCTCCTATGATAATCTGCCAGAGCGATCACAAACGGACAGCGCTAATAATGCGGATCGGCTATATTCGCCTTTAACTCTGTGGTATGGATTACACAGAGGGAGACATCAGACAGTCCAATCAACATAGTAAGATACTTACGCATGCGGGAACTCAACCTGTTTCCCAGTACTTAGTGTCCAACAGCTCAAAACCGCGGGCTGTTTTGCCTAAATCCGAAAAATAACAAAAATAGTACCGCTCTTTTACGGTACATTGTGACAGAGGCTATGCCACGTGAGAAGGGCAAAAATATTCACATCACATGTTTCTCGAATCAGAGCAAGGAAACTTCAATCGAACTGAAGGGGGTCAAACAGTGTTCGTGTAGGATATTCCGACTCGCCTAAAGTGGATGCACCCAGACATTCAATTATGTTGTGGAATAAAAAAATCGCTCAGCTGTAACACCCTTCCGGTGCTTAGGTGGTGGTATGGCACGGTGGTGGTATGGAAGCACGAGGGCTGGGATACTGCCAGGTTGCCCAAGACTAGACAGGGGAAGTCGAGAGGCAGAGGTCGGGTTCGAACCACGGACCTTCCGGTCAGCAAATTCACGCTCTAACCACTTAAGCCATATGTTGCGAAATTATGAATGAGACGTATCCATGCAAAACGGTAAATATACAAGTTGTCCAACATCCCCTGTCATCTAGTTTACGGTGTACGATAAGACTCTTTTACTCCAGTGAGTTCGAAAAAAAGGTCACCCAACAAGGTGAACTGTCACGAAGGGATTCCATTTAACCAGAGAAACAATGGTAGTAATTAGGAATCCCGTAAATATCGAGTTATCCTGCACTGTTTGATTGCATGTTGCTGCTTCAATATCTTGACTTCGCATCGCAACTGTATCATGTCCTAAAGAATGGTGACGTGCGCGTATGTAGGTTAGATCATCCGTCAAGTTTATACAAAAAGAGTTCTCTCACGCTGCGGGACTATGTATTATCCATACTTTTGAGATTGACCGTTTGACAAGAGAGTAGACTACTGAATCCGAGCGAGTGGCACAACTAATCCCCATTGTGATGTTTTATCTTGAGGAGTGAAACAGCCGTTTGTAGGACCGGAAATTATGTCCACCTCGATGATGGACAGATTGTTTCGTCGCACAAACAGACTACAGTTGGGGACATTTCGCGGAGCTGAAATCCACTCCACGACCGTGTCACCTTTTTGAGAGAGAGGTTCCCAGTGGAAGCTGTATTGTGCCAGTCATCGGGGGATAATTCCCAAAATGACGTCACCGACTGTAAAGTGGAAAACAACTTTATCGAACTTTCAACTTCACAGGTTAAAGTATAACGTAAACGTATGGTGTGCAACTCAGAACAGTGTTGCCCCATAGGGGCGAAAATTGGCAACCAAGTATTGAGTGCTTCCAGCGATCAGTTGGGCCACGTTCAGTTACGCACAAAACCCCAAAAGTCAAGTCGTTCAAACAAAGGTCTACCAACAAATGCGGTACTATGAATGCAATAATAAAACTGTAAAAACCTCAAATCATGGGATTACATCAGCTTCTATATACCGGTTTATGAACTGCTGATTCCAAATGCAATCCTCTACAAATAGGTAGGCAGGAAACATTGTGCCTACCCAAAGTTGACAAAGAATGAAGGCAAAGTAGCCAGAAGATGGCAAAAACCCGTGCTTGATTAAAACTAAACATGCAATGACAAGGTCAAGGAGAGGTTTACGTACAGGTGAAAACAAGAAACGCGGTAGAGGCGCAAAATGGAAACTGGAAAACGAGGAATCACGTTGCACAAAATAAGAATAGAAGAAAATAACCAACACTAGGGGCGATAGATATGTATGAGGTATGTGAGTTCAGCCACCACTGTGTAGTAAGCATCCCATATACGTGGCAAAATTCCGTAACCATATGATTACAATGCCGCGTCTCACACCACTAAGTACCCTTCCTGGAAGACAGCTAGGAGCCGGGGTCAATAATGAGAACCTGACCGTTGACTTTCCCACGGTTGAGTCGAACAAACTTCGTCCCCTTTGCCGTAACAATCCTTGAAACTCAGGGCATAAGCGCTCTTGTTGTTCCTTAGAAAGAAGTGACCAAATCACTTCACTGCTTTTCGAACATAATCTGGTGTTGATCCGATGGATAGCTCCTTACATAAGGAGCTATCCATCGGATCAACACCAGATTATGTTCGAAAAGCAGTGAAGTGATTTGGTCACTTCTTTCTAAGGAACAACAAGAGCGCTTATGCCCTGAGTTTCAAGGATTGTTACGGCAAAGGGGACGAAGTTTGTTCGACTCAACCGTGGGAAAGTCAACGGTCAGGGCAACCTGACAGTATCCCAGCCCTCGTGCTTCCTTCGGGTGGCATGGCAGCTAGGCACCGAAAGGGCGCTACAGCTGAACGACTCCTTACATATGACATCACTTAGCCAGTGCTAGAAATGGTCATCAGAAAGTAAAGTCTTAGAAACTCACCCTAGCTGCCAAGTTATTGTGGGCATCTAAAACGGCGAACACAGCACCGTCCAGTCCAAGAGCCTCCCAAACTCGCGCTGCATATGTATAGGACAAATTCCTCCCGCCATAGTTCTCACCGATTTGCAAGCCGAACAGACCGTGTTTAGCGAAGGTAGCAAGGGTTTCACGGTCTAATCGGTTGTCTCGATCTATTTCTGCACTGTTCACTGAGTGAAGAAACACAAAGGAAAATGAACTAGAAAGAGGAGTAAGTGGCACTAACTACGAATAAGTTGGTCATGTTGACCATCTATCTCGACAAATACACGTTCAAAATACTATAGCACTAAAACGTAACATAGGCTAGAGAAAATGACATCTAAAAATGGGCGAAAACTGACACTTGGAATAGAACCGAAGGGAATCGTACGTGCTTGGATCACGAGGTGAGGCAGGACTACACGGTTTATTGTCATCTGGCTTAGATAGAGCAGATTGTCCCACAAGTAGAGAAAAGTTGTTTTCAGTAAAAATGGAAATATGACACTCTTCCTCGACAAAATTGACTAAATAATTGGGGAAGCTGAGAGGCACAAAATTCCTCTCATTGCGATCCTTCTCAAGAAAACAAACGCCCTAGAAACGAAGAGAATACATTTTTCGAATCCTCAAACGACTGATTCACTCCTCATCCACGTCTTTGATCCAGTAGTTTTGGTGGAGTTTCTATCACAAACGTAGCTGCTATACTAATCCAGAAAGTGAAATCCGCTTGAATGGACTAGACTAAACCCATAATTTAGCCTCAAGCATGCACACTTTATAGCTGAAGTTAATACAGCTGAAGGATAAGTAGAATCAACGCAGGATAACTCAAATTTTCTCCGGTTACAAATGAGCAACATAGAGTATAGCACTTGTATTCGTATTAACTAACCGTATCCGTAATCGTATTCGTAGTACTAGCCTGTCGCGCTTACTGGTTCACACTTAATTTTAGCCAGATTAAAAGACATCTGCCCCTGATGACCCGGAGAGAAGACGGCTAATGTTTCTCCAGAAATCGATCAAAACCGGCTCGCTTCACTCCATAGAACTCCCATTTTATCAGTGCAAAACCGGCTTACGGACAGCATTGTTCGCTCTTCTTTGCCTGTTTCATTGAATGGTCACATGTGTTTGCTCGTCCACTGGCAAATTGGCCCTGCGGCCTTTGGAGTCGATCGATCTTTGTTTGTCCGAAGTCACAGGGTGTCTTAAACTGGAGTACTGACAAAACCGACGGGGCGTAGCTAATTATACAATTGAAGTCTGAGTTCAGCTTCGTGAGAGACAGCGCCAGCCAGCGCCGACTGGCTGGAAGGGTGCTTCTCAAGTTCATATTACTAAAGAGCCATAGTGTTACGGCCTGCAGAGGATTGATCTCAACCATGGTTTTATGCGGCTTGATTACGTCACAACGATCAGAAGAGTTTCACCAGTGCCTCTCCGTTTTTCAGCATAGATTGGCCTCATTTGCAGGACGAGATCTTCAATAAAAGGTTTGTCATGCTACACTGGTGTATGTGATTCGACGCAATACATTTTCAGGCAGAGTGCGAAATTATACCGCAGCCTCACGAAAGCGGTTCAAATAGTCTGGCGCAAGGTACGAAATGCATTTCTTCCTGGGATTCCCCTTCCTACGAATGAACAGTGTGAAATTCTCCGAAGGTGGACGAGCACTGTGTGAGATGATTCCCAGTAGTTAAGCCTCAAGCCTCGTGCACTGCAGCGAATCTTTGGAAAACTGCCGAACATCAGGATAATCCACACGTACCTTCTATGTTGAGTAGTTAGTTTCTTTGATTAAAAGCTACACAGGGACCGGATGCCATTCAAGGTGAAAAAGACCGAGTTGTCTCACACTTTTGCAAAATTTACTCGTATTCCATTTAAATTGGGACCAATCGAAGGAAGCCACCAGCCAAACTAAGGTACCTGACCCAGTCGCTGGCACAAAAACATAAGGCAGGTTGAAGTTGGGACAGGGGTATGCCTGAAAGTAATCAACAAAAACTTTCTTCGCATCAAAGCATTTGCATGAAGTAGACAGTGCTTGGAACCAGTAGTGAGATGTTCTAGCTAATTAGAAACTACTAATCAAAGTAGCAGCAGGAAAAATGAACGCATAAGTAGATCCTGTCGCGTGCGGCGTCGCCCCTCATGAAACGCAGCATTAGAGTTCAAAGTAAGATAGCACACTCTCCATCTGAATCTCCATGTGACAATTCTGTGCAAGTGGTGGAAGGCAGTTCGTCCTACGGCCACTCAAAAATCAACCGAGAGGAAATGTGCTATATTGGAACCCCTACCAGATAAAAAACGGATGCTCACTTTTCAGTCATTATGCAAGCACATATAGACAAACTGGCTGGAACAGCTTGGGAAAGTAATCCTTGCTAGGTAGAATAGCTTTGTGTCGGCAGAAGTCACCCGTGTTCCAAAACGAACGGTAGTCAGGTATTGATCTGTGTTATCGATATCCGATCGTAGCTGGTACTCTGTTTGAGGACGCAATGTGGCCATGCGGTTATTTCGGAAGCTAGTACTATATAACAACAGCAGGCGGTCAGCACATGGCTGAAGCAATCACCATCAAAAAATCGGACACCGAAACCAGTTTTGATATTGATGTTTCAGTGCTATACAACCCAAAGTTTATTTAATCATATTCAGAGCCTAAAAGTAAAAGAAGTGTTGGCGACGAAGGGATTTGGTGCCAACCTACTGCAGGTAATCTGCGGTGCCTACGCTCCAAACGCTGTCTTTGGAATCTCTTTCACACCCTACTGCCAAGTCATAAATTACCCACCACACGGTTTCCGTTAGTCTGAGGGAGCCACGGAGAACAGTGCTAGTCTCGTTATGCAATGACTCGGTATATCATGTTGCTGTAACACTTCACGAAGTGTAAAAATGTCGTCAACACTACCCTTACCCGCTCAAAATCCCGCCAAATTCCAGTGGATTAATTGATACCCCTGTAGTTGCTACATTCACTGCGGGTGCTCTTTATGAAGATCGTCAAGGAGCTTCAGAATTCATCGTCTAGTGAACCTGGTACAGAGACCGATAGGTGATCGAAGCTTTGGTTCTTCGCCACATCCGAGTTTGAAGGGGTGGAGGCACAGACACTGATAAAGGTGGTAAACCTTTTTTCGACAGCTGGGATAGGACGGCCATCATTCCCGAGTTGGTGTGGTTTGGTTGGCCCAGTACTCTCTGATCCGTACAACTGCGAATCCGACATTGTGTTCGTATCCACTTTCTTCTGTTTTCCAGTACAGTAGAGGGTACAGTAATAGCTAGTCTTTCGTAACCTCCCTAGATCACCCAGTTGGTTTTTACTGAGTTCAGTGAGGCTAATGCGGTGGCGTTCGAGTTCTCCTTCAAGAAAACCAGTTCGTCTTTCAGGCTTGTTCCCTCCACGTCTACCTATGGACGTCTACCCATGCTGACGTTGAAGAGATAGACGCATCCTCTCTCTCTTCACAGTCCGGATCATTTGCGGTAAGGTGGAGCAATCTGACCGCTCAGCCTGGAAATGAAAGCCTATTCCATGTACCCCATCCCAAGTCTTTGACTTCAGGTTCTGACACAGAGGGACGTGGAGGACTTACTCAGCCATATGGCTAACGCATACAGCAGGTGCCTTTTTTTTACATTAACTGACTTGATTTTTGGGAATGTTTCGACCGTATTGGATGATGTACCGATTTTTAAGGTCAACTCTTTCTAAGTCCTCCATTCACAGCAACACTGCTAACACAATTATGAAAATTCTGGTCATCTGGAGGAAACACCTCGCCATTATTTTCATTTTTGCCGCGGCGAACAGCAAAACCTTATCCCTCAAGAGTTCTCGTGATACTGAGACTAAGTGCTCTTCGTCAGACTGTTTCCCAGTGACCTTTCTAGCATGGCATAACCTTGATGAACTGCGTTCTATCCAGTGTAGCCGGCAAGATCACTACAGCACTGAGCCTGACCACCATGATAAAACGGAAGCTAACCGGCAAACCCGACTCCAATGCCAGCTATTCCCATAAGTTTATTTGCAATTTGCTATGACCTGGTACATGGATGTTATGCCCTGAGCATTCCTCCTCTCGAAAAGAAAGCACTCTTCCGGAAAAACCAAAACAGCTCTCCAACGGTGGACCCTTTTTAAAGACAACAATAATCCAGTTGCATTAATTCACTAATAAGGGTAAATGCAATAGTACACACCTACCTTGAAGAACAAGATTTTTCACTCGTTCATGGAGAAGATTGGCTTTGTTGACATCTTCTATTTTCGGTAGTTCTGGATAATCAAGAAGTTCCTGAAAAAATAAACATAGTCGCCTACATTCACAATATAGGTACTAACGGCCTTAATCAAAACAGCAAATTTGCTATGAGGGATGTATTCGTGCCCGACCCAACGAGAGGGGAATGATAGAAAGTACAAATGTTTCACGCTCCTCTTACGCAAGACCGCTAAGGTGTGAAGATTTTCTCGTCACAGTGGCAGACAAGAAGAATTATATCAGTTTGGAATTGTTCTACATGCCTATCTGATAAGAAATGTGGAAGGAATCTTATTTGACCGAGTAAACCTCGCTCTTCTCGATCTGGGTTTGTGTGACGGACGCAGTAGGATAGGTCAGGGAATCAGTAGATTACACTGCGCAGCTTTTACGAGGATATTAAAGAGTCGATAACTAAACTCGTATCTAACTTTTTCACAAAGGAAACTACTCACAAGGTTGCTGAAAACTCTTTGACAGCCCACGACCGGTTTCGCCCTTCTTCGGGCTCATCAGGTAGGCGCAGTCCCAGATTTTTTGTCAACCCTATGTTCTACTTGAACAGCTATCACGAATCAGTAAACCGTAAAGCAGAGATATGCCGTACTGTGAAAAAGTAAGTTTTCTAACTCACACTAAAAGTGTCCCTGTGGGTTAGTGCGAAGAATCACGCTTCTATCGGATTTCGTCTATCTGACACTCAATCACAAACGGCTATCTCTATTTGAGCTTTCTTTATGCAGGTGAAGTCAGTCCATATCGTGTCGATGAGTCAAACATCGACGTATAACTGTTCTATCCTTGTTGGGAATCATCTGCAGTGCGCATATCACGAACCGTCAGTGAGATTCGAGTTCGAAAACTCGCGGCTAGTCGTTGAAGACTAAACCATTTGACAACCACATCACACAAGTATGGGATCTAAAGGCAAGAAAACTGTCACTCAGCATCCGGTATCAGTAATTTCATGAGTCTATGGATGTCCAAAACAGTGTATTGAAGCAACATAATTAGGGTAACTCTGGTTGTAAGTAGACTAACTGATCCACCAATACGTATATTCCAATCCCGGCCAAAACCATGATCTGCATATGAGCAAAAGCGTCCAAAAAGACTTTTCGATAGCGACTTAAGAACAAGCTTAACTAGTTTACCTCGGGTGATTCTACTCAGTGCATGCAGTCCAGTATGTGGCCCCTAACAGAGCGCGCGAAAGCCGTCAAATATGATCCGTACTATCGTGAAACTAGATGAAACTCTACGGTCCTTTATATTCTAAACACTAGTATGAAGAAAATGGATAACACTAGACAAAGAACTAGGACTAGGATGAAAAAGTAGATGCCGCGGCTCATAGAGCAGGTGATATGCGGGTTCTTATGCAAGACAATGATGTTCTCGTTTGAGTTTACAAGGAATGTACACTGTCAGAATGAACAATCAATGTTATTGTTATCAATATAAAGATGCTTGCAGAACTAGGACTAGGATGAAAAAGTAGATGTCGCGGCTCATAGAGCAGGTGATGAGGGTTCTTACGCAAGACTATGATGTCCTCGTTTGAGCTTACAAGGAATGTATACTGTCAGAATGAACAATCAATGTTACTGTTATCAATATAAAGATGCTTGCTATCAATATAAAGATCTCCTGTTGGACATCCATCCAATCCTATTCGATTCTCATTGGAGAATAAGAAAAGCACCAGTATGGAAGAGAAATTTGTTTTACTTGCCAGATGTAGCTGTCCACGGAAGAGATCTGTCAACAATGAAGCGGAAGAATAATCTGCGACAGAAGTCGATCGAGGTGGTGATACGGCTTCGACTTCAAGTGAACCCTGACGGGGCCATAATCGTTTTGGCTTGTCCGGCACATTCTGAGACTGATCCTGCTGTAGGACCGTCTGGGAAAGACGTCTGAACTGTTGAGTGCCGTGACACCGAAACAAGCCACGGTTGGGTTCACAGATCTCGACGAGAATGCCGTGGAAGCGAGAAAGCCTCCCGTAATACGACTGAAACGAAGCAGAGAAAATACTAGCCGAAGTACATCCAACAGAGCAGAGCAACCCTCTGTCACTCCGGAACATCCCAAAATGATAACAGACACTACATCATCTTGAGCCCTGTTGAACTGTCTTGGTGGGACCAGTGGATGCCTAACCCATGTTCCTGATTAAAGGGCTCTACAAAAAGAATGCTGAGTAACACATTGTGCACTAACCTTCCGTGGGAATCACCAGAGATGATTTATTCGACTCACATGGACGAGAGTGACGAATTTACTCATAGTGACTATCTCCAGAACAATCTCCAAAACAATCACAGTGGGGTAATTTGTTTCCCGACTGAGGACGACCCGATCTTTGTCTACCTAAGAAGAAACGACAAGATGAAGCCACTTTCTATTGCCAGTCGACTGGATCCCAACTTCCAATAACCGAAGGAGTACTTTCCCATCTCTTCAGCCATTTTGAATAAAAAATTTGAGTGTAAAAACTCTCATGTACTGCCTACATTGCCCAAACTCAAAAACTTCAACTAAGTGTTCTCTTTCCAAAAACTTGGAGGACCACAAAGGATCGACCACCATCCTGTCGATCATTGAATTTGCAACTGGTCAGGACAAGTGAGTCGGGCTTTACGACTGATGGTGGGCCAAACGGTAAGGTTTGCATCTAATAGTAGGATGTTGGATGTCTACTAAAAGTTTTGGTTAACTTATGTAGGAAACTACGTGTTACGATCGACTATTAGGGGAGAAAATACACGAATTTGGGTTTGACTTTGGTTCTTGCTGTTCAAGTTCTTCAGCCTCTGGTTTACCTTGGGTGCCGTCCACAAAGTGTGAGTGGGCGAGTCCACGATGCGATTCCATTAGAATGGCAACCACATCGTCATCACCATTATCATCATCGACACATGGCATCATGGTTCTTGCTGTTCAAGTTCTTCAGCCTCTGGTTTACCTTGGGTGCCGTCCACAAAGTGTGAGTGGGCGAGTCCACGATGCGATTCCATTAGAATGGCAACCACATCGTCATCACCATTATCATCATCGACAGCATGGCATCAAGGTTCGAAACCGATGCTTCACGCCCCTAGGAATCAACTCACCTGATCGAAAACCATATTCCAAAAGCCGTCCAGAACTATTTTATTCACATATGGGTGGTTGAATCCTTATAGAATTGATTACCAGTCGCTGGGATATGAACCGCAGTCACCACCGAAATGTTCACACTCTCGTAACCTTTTTAGGCTCCATGTCCCGCCACTGTCAAATATTTGGTCGGCGCGTTTCTTGGTAATAAGCCTATCCTCATGTGATCACCAATTAGGGTGTGCGTCCCCTGGCTCATTACCCCAAGCAAACCTTAGTGTAGTCATGATACTGGGGCCGAAAGGCGATCCTTCAACAACACTATTGGTGAGCGTAGCGTATCCTCTCCTGGATTGCTATTTTGATGTAACTTACGGCAAGCATTCTTCAAAAAATCTCAGCTATTCTTGTGTGCAGAACGTCCTCTATCCTGGTCTCGATACTGCAATCAATAGCCAGTTATCGAAGCCTTTGTTCCAAAAGATAGAAATGACCCAGCTATAAGTCGCCAATTTCGGAAATTTCTCTGAAGCGATGCACGGCAGAACGTAAATTATCTTCTCTCATACTGTACAACACCACGTGGAGAGATTAATTATCAAGTGGAACCAACAGCGCGAAGTATAGGCAGATACCTTTCCGCTGTCTCATTACATCTACGTCTACTTAATTTTGCCTACTCACCAGTAGCTTAGTTATCTTCCGAATAACTTCTCAATCGTTCTCTCGTGTGGACCGTTAATTTTCTTGTATACATTGTTTACTAGCCAAAAACGTGAAGTCAGTGCTTCTGGAGTTCCATTCCGTTCATATGGTCCACATCAAACCGATAACCCATGTATGGGAAGACCCCTAAAACGGCTTGAATGTTTTTGCGTCACCTCTCTTCTCTATGCTACATACTGCTCCCCAAATAGCATAAAAGTCTTCCCGCTCTTGGCCCCCTGCGCCGTACTTAACGTTTGACAGTGCCGTTTGCGGTTGCAGCCGTTGAGCGCATTCGATGCGACATTCCATTCCCATACAAACTCACTCTAAAGCACTCCCTGTAAATGAGGACTAACCAGACGGTCAGTAAACAATGAGAAACAAAAGGTCCCCACAAAACGACTCCCCTTCAGCCCCAGAATACAAATCCGCAGTTTATCGCTGGTAGTTCCAGTTATGATCATTTCTTAAGTGAAAAGCAAAAACTTTTATAACTGGACGCTTTATAGATTCATCATGGCTTATTAAAGAGATTATTCCATGAAACAGGTTTTATCCTCTCATGCCGTCATTTTACTTACTAGGAAATAGGTCAGTGAAACAGCAACGTGAACCACCCAAGGGTAGTTGAGTGTCCAATTTGTGACTGCACCACCTTGTTTTGAAGTCCTTCTCTAAAAGTTTTAGCACACTTATTCTGATTAACCCAAATCGAAAAAGCACAGGGCACAAGGCCTACTCTTCTAAGTTTGCCAGCTGTGCCTACTCTCCACCGTACATGACATCCGACATGAGCGCTACTACTACTCCATGCTTGATGCAATTAAATTATTTAATCTGAATAGGCGAAAAATAGTGCCGGAGCAAAATTGTGCGGATTGGACAACGACTCGGCATCTGCTGTGCCTGTGCCCGGCGCTGACTTGTCCGTCAAGACTTAACAGTCAGGTAAGGCCGTGGAGGCTCATGGGACTAGATGTGGTCAATAGATTTGAGGATTTTGCATCCGACACTTGTCTAAAGTCGTCCTCCCGTCTTGAAGCGATTATTCTGGCGTCGGAACACACACACCTCACACACAAACAGCTTCATCTGTCTAGAAAGGATTATCGATGCTCATCCAATATACATCAACTCGTGTATCAAAGGACCAAATTCGTGTGTTTTAAAACAGTACCAGAAAGGAAAAGTTGAGCAACAGAACCTCTGGATATAACCAAGGTGAGTGAAAGACCAGCAGAAAGTAATAAGAGCGGAATCTGGCCGACCTGCTGGTAACCAAGGCAGCCACGTTTGCCCACCACAATACCCCGGAAGTGGTCCAATAATTCTATGAGATGGCCTAAGTGGTTGAAGCGCCAATTTACTGACCGGAAGGTCCGTGGTTCGAATCCCACCTCCGCCTCTCGACTTCTCCTGTCTAGGTTTGGGCAACCTGGCAGTACCCCAGCCCTCGTGCTTCCTCCGGGTGGCATGGCAGCTAGGTACCGGAAGGGTGCTACAGCAGAACGCTTTCTTTCTTTTTTCTTTTTCTATGAGAAAGTGAACACTATGGTACTAGCAGGAAGACCCAACCATTTCGTTGGATGATTTTTGTCAGTACACCACGACGACGCAGCGCAACGGGAGATTCGAACATGCCGGATGGTTGTGGGCAGCTACAGGATTCACCGAGGTGAAAGCACATCCCGACACTAGTGCTTCTCCTTGGTGTCGGCTAGCCAGACTAAGCACCTCACGACAAAGATAGAACTGACCAAAAAACTGGTCAAAAGTGGACGAAATTCCCGAAGATGCCGCATCCATATCATGCATTTCAATTAAGCTTCAAAGGCTCATGGAAATGGAAACGGTTCATGGTTCACTCAATGGGAACCAGTAAAGTAGCAGCATAAAACCTTCGTTAGGTAAGTTGTGGATGAAGTTTTTCCGAAATCCAGGTATATTTCAGCATAACGGCAGATAAGACGCGAAATTCTGCTTTGCTGCAGGTAAGGCTTGACCTAAACATACACTGAACCGTTACCTTGTAACCAACGAACGAAAGCCTTCCACCGTTTGATTGAATTGCATCATATTATAGAGCGCAGGTTCCTAACACCAACAGTTAAAAGTTCAAAGCCCACTGAGTATTGACTGGATAGAATGTCGGCAGGGGACTTCCTGGGGTTAAAACGGCTAAAATCGTGTACGAAGGCGGATTAACAATGAGTCCTTGCTAGAGCACCTTTCTTCTACGGATTTAATACCACAGAGCCGGCGGATTAACAATGAGTCCTTGCTAGAGCACCTTTTTTTTATACGGATTTAATTCCACAGAGCCTTATCTTTGGAGGCTAAAATGAAAAACATTGGATAGCCACACAGCACTTATACGGTCTTCGTTTCGCGTTTATTTGTCGTCCGCCTATTTTAATGCCCATCCGAGAAGGAATCACCATCCGAGTGGAGTATAAATCAGACATCCCACAGCGACATAAATGCACTCATTCACATAATTCAATATGACCCTACGTCAGCAGCCCACACAAATCTCACAATGGAACAGATTACCCAGTCGACGACCTGATGCTTTTAAAACGAACATCCGATCAGAATGAGTTGGAAAAAAAGCCAACAACAAAGTGCTCCAATTGGAACTCCAGTGCATGAGTAACTCATCTGAGTTAGTTTGAGTTCAGTTCATCAGCAAAAAGCGATGTATCAAAGATGCGCTGTTTCCGGCTACCACAGTTTCGTTTATAGGAAAATAGAGGAACAGATCGCCGCCAAAGTAGACAGGCAACAGTTAGAAAAGAAGACAGCTGAACAGCGCGGATTCACGCTGTGCGTAAGACAGAAATGTGTCAACTCAACGACGTACAGACACATCAATAACATGCTTCCGGTTAGCCAGAACACGAAGTTAACTATCCGATTATCATCCATTGAGTCGGGGAATTATTAGAAAGGTACACCGAAAGTCGACGGTAACCAACCTGTATGAAGTATGAATATACACATTTTCATATAAACATACATTAACGAGTGACGTCTGGTTGAACTAAGAAAACTGCACAAAATCATCAACAGTGCAAAGGAGTTGTTCGAACAAATGGCTAATAGCCAGGAAGCAACGTCTAACGGCCTTAGATCCGGTTACAAGCTAACTTATTTGGAAGGGGTCGTTTGTGTTCATCTGGCGGTTTTCATCCCACAGAGGTGACAAGATGGCGACACACATGAATTTAATACTGCCAGTATCCATTCGAGCAGAACAAAGTACTCCCTTTCACATTCACAAAGATGCACCGTGCGGTTCAGGTCATCTGCTCTACAGGAACAAGCAAACTAATACACAACGAATGGGGATGCAAAACGTAACTCTTTCTACTCAGTTTGCAACGGAACCGAAGAAGTAAATCGATTCAACCGAATGAAATGCTTAGCAAAAAAATATTTTTAATTGATTCGTAAGAAGATATGCCATCGTGTCTAATTTATGGGGAATCCTCATGAAGATCGCCTTCCTGCCCACCGATGTTTGTGTGTCTGTAATGAGTGGCTCCGGACAGGCGTTGTTAATCAACACATTTTCGACGTAGCTCAGTTCTGCGCCATGCGTACTTGGTGAGCTTGCTGTGTCAAACAACGACGACATTCTGCTGTTGTTTTGGTTGTGGTACTAAACTGAGTCCGGAAGTAATGACCGTATCATGTCTTGTGTGTTGTAAAGAGCTGTCGTTTCGCTGCTTCAAAAGTACCAAGACAAGGCAGAAAATGTCCGTTTTCGCCTAGTGCAGTGACGCGAACAATGAGTTCTAGCAGTGAAAATCGATGACAGGTCCAAACCAATCAGAAGGAATACATTATCCCTGGGAACTAAGCATAGTGCAATAAGGCAAGCTGTAGTGGAGATCCTCGACGGTCTGTGGCTCAGTGCTTTGTGCAAGATCGCGATAAAAACTTGGCGTATTCTGAACTGATCCGGAACGTCAAATACACATTGGTTCCAGAGGTTCGTTCTCTCCTCCAAAACAAACCAGCTTCAAGAATTCCTTTGGCTCGGTACTTTCGTGAACCGCATGATACTTCTAAAACCGCAGGAGAATAATGCGAATCCACTAAAAGAAACACATCCATACCTTACCTAATCGAAGGAAGGAAAGAAACGTGAACTAGCAAAGGACGCCACAACTCTACAAACGGTGTACTGCCTTTGGTTCTCCCAAGGTCACCAGAACAGGTATACATACTAATTCTACAGCAATATCTGCAACTGCCTCTTTATTGGGGACACAGGTTGGTAGGTTTGAAAAGAGGATATCAAATACACCTAGTTCCTAACCTGGCGCAGGCGGAAAATCCTCACGGTTAAACGTCGATTACCTCAAAAAGAAACGAGAAGCGGTAGGTCGAGGGAATCAAAGAATTCTGAATAGCATCGCATCATCAGTTCGAAATCAAGGCATCAACCTGATATTAATGTAACATAGTCAAACCGAGTCCACTTGAGGATGATTAACAAGACTGCGTTGTTGAGCTGGGACTTCCACTTTGAACAGAATGAGTTCGAGCACATCGAAAATATTCTCCCCGTAAGTATTCCAAACCAGGACAGTTTTCTTACGTGGCTGCGAAATACACGAGCGTATGCATAGCACTAAGTGCTATGCCTGAGTATGAATTTCGGGACCCAGCCTTTCCAATTTTTTCCTTGGTTTCCTCATCATTCCGACCGGTTATTCCGCAGACAGAACCAAATCGGTAGTGCCGAGAGAAACCGCTATGTCGCTGTAACTTTTTTCAACTTTTCTCCAAGCGAAACATCTAATCGACCTCGCGCAGTTTAAATTAAACAGATTATCCTAACTCGGCCAACAAGCATCTCAAGTGATAACCAATAACGAAAACTGGTTAATAAAGTGTGACAGTAGGCCTCCAACTTTGGCCAATTCGGTGGGTTTGTGACAAGTGATTAGGTCGAATCGTACTTTATTGACCAGGTCTCGAGATTAGTTGTTTCAGATTGGGATACAACGACAAAACATGACAGGTCGTCTGCAAAATTTTCCCAACAAAACCAGCTTTCGCCAATGACAAACAAACGGCCCCTGATTGTACAGTACAGCCAACCACTTGTCGTGAGGTACCAAGCAACAAGGAGTCCAAAAGATGGAATTCGGTGTACCGCTAAACTGAGCCGAACAAACAACCAATACGAAAAAAAACTGCATCGTCGCTAAAGATTTAATATTCAAAAGATTGAAAAACAGCAGGGGAAAACTAACAATATACACGAACTAAGTTCAGTTTGTTTCGTCTGTTTTTTGAGGGCCAGATCCCAGGAGGGGAGAGCGTACTACCTCAATTGGTTTGGTAGAACTATCGATTAAAAGTTTCAACTCTTGGGCTTTTTGTTCAGCTTCAAGTAAATCTTGGGTCGTCCGCTCCTCTTCTGCAACCAACAAACGGCTAGCTTGTTTGTCTGCAGGGTCGTAGATGTCCAATCGACGTGGTGGTATCAAAGCGGCTGCGACGTATCGACCCTCAGAATTGAGGAAGTTGAAAGTTCCAACGGCAGCTTGCTGCAAATTGTGATTAAGAAAAGGGAACACAGAGATAAATAATGCCCGCGAATGATTACATCGATTACTGAGCGGCAATAGACTCAAGTAAAGTAGCTAAGAAAATCCATAGGTGCTTGCTTACTCAAATAGTATAATCGACACTGTAGACAAGAAGATTCTGATTCTAGCGACCGCTGTCGCCATTAAGGAGCTCAGACACAAAGTAACCTCTGAAACGCGAGAAGACAACAGATCTTTTCAAAAAATAGGTTGACTCGAAGCAATGCAGTTGTAACAAAGTTGACAGCTAGGTCAATAGCCCAACCAAGCGGGACTACTTTGACCGGGTCCTATGATCCGTTTTTGTGGAGGGTTCGTAATCCTTTCACCAAGAAAAGGGCCAATATGTCTCCGAGACAAGGATGAAGTTGCTTGGCCCGAAAATTGTATTTTTACTTGGAGGCATGCGATGTCTCAAGATGTTTTCAGTAGAAATCAAAACGAAAAAAACATTTCCGTGCACATACCAGACCCTTTTGAAAGCTACCGCGTTTTCCTAGATCGGTTATACACTCTCGGGAGAGTGAAAGCAATGAAAGCGTTCTTACCTGTCCGCATTCATTTGACCTGTATTTATTAGGTGATTTAAAAACAATACACAATAGGCTAATGACTGTCTGCAGAGTGTCATTAATTGGCCAGTACAAATCGTACTTATGTATGAAAAAGAAAGAGACAAGCAGCAAGCGAGTATAAAGGGAGATCACTCCGGTCATATTTAGGTACCTGTGTACATGGGCGCATGCATACTGCTGACACTTTCCTAGTGATGTTTCAACCACGATTACGTTAGTCCTGTCCAGAACGTGCAGCTAGTTTAGCAGAAGAGTATCCATTAGTCTTGTCTGTTTGCAAGGACTGGATGTCCACATCCTAACGACAACTGATTCAGGTGTTTCCAGGGTACATGTGCATGTATGTTTAGATTGGAGTGAAAAGCTCTATATCTGAGTTTAAAAGCAGTATTCGTATCTACCAAGTGAACAATAATGGCGCTATAAGTGTTCCTGTGTTATCACCTAGCAAGCTTTTTGGATATGGTTCACGGGTGTGAGAGACAAGCTGACAAACTGCATGACCGACGTATGAAGCAACACAAACATACTTGGAGGAACAAACAATCATGGATGAGATCAAAACCGGTGGCTTGCCCTTTTTTCTTCCCACTCTGTACCAGCTTGTTTCTTGTGTATGTTCCTCCTTTATTTACGCATAAGCAGGTGTGCTGATACTCAGGTGCTCTATTGATGGACGAGTACACACGTACTTTAGACCCTAGTCAAGGATTACCTGTGGTAGAATGATGTTCATTTTACATAAAAAGACTCATCTCAGTAGTAAGAATAGGAAACAATCAGTTGAGGGCAAAAGTTTCGCGGTCAATGAAGCTCGGAGGGAGGTGTCAGAATTATGGAGTGAGGTGGAATTGCCTGTATCTCTTGAATGTACCGGTTTTGAGCAGTTTTTTCGTATATCCCCTGAGCAACCTTGGGTAGGTAAAAAGGTAAGCTGCTTGTTCGGTAGGAGGAAATGTGCGCTGGAGACTCACTCAGGTGATAAAATATGCTCAGAACTAGTGGAATTAACTCAGGACGTCTTGCGTCATACAGCAATACTCAAAGATGGATACTTCCAACCACAAAGTTATCAGTATAAAAAGAACCCTTTCCAAATTTACTATAGCTGGGCGGAAAAGAAAAGTTTGTGCTTTCCAAGGGGAAACGTGTTCGAGAGGAGCTTTTTACCGGTCCCTGTTTTTACGGTTGCTATCAAACCGTACATGCAGAGTGAATCGCTACAATATTACGTTTCTAGCGCGTGACTGTCCATCACACTCCCCTTTCACCTGTGCCTGCTAGAACCAGTATACGCCTCCTGTATATAGGCAGTTTCTGGTTAGATAACCGAACGTATGAGCACATAAAAAGCCTGGGGGAATAACCGGAGCAAAACGACCATCAGTTGCTTACAATACTGTAGCAAACGCCACAAAATAAGAAACAGAGACGGAATCCTCAGCTATTTAGTCAAGCATAAAGAATCGCAGAATATTGGATAACCACACATTAAAAGGAATCTGTATAGTGGCTAGACCCGATTCATATCAGAGCAATAATTAACCTCATGTACACACCTGCACATTTGCATGTAAGGCTACAGAGTGAAACGAAAAAAATACTTACTTATGTGACTTGGTTTTCGGAAGCCAAGCTTTTACGAAGTAGACTATCATAACCGAAGCCTGACTTACCGTAGGAAGCACTTCCACACCAAGATTGCGTTTATTGCACATAGATAATATCCGTGGGTAGTCAACTTGAACACTGGTTTCTCCCTTGCCAATCACCAAAAACTCTTGTAGTAAGCAACAATAAGTGGAACAGTTACAAACCTAGCTTTGGCTCTAGTAGAAAGAAAAGAGACAGTGAATCTTCGTTAATGTCATTCGCGTCGCGCACCTTGAAGACAACTATTGGACGTCAGAACAATCTCGAATACATACATTCCAGCACATGGCGTTCCTGGGAAATGCTGCACATGGTCCAATGATTCGTGTTCCTGAGTTCAGAATGAAGCCATGCTGATTATAGGCTATAAAGTAAACTCCAGCAGATCCGTAGTTGACTATATCCGCTTCCACTGAAGGTGTCTGTTTTCCAGGCAGAACAAGGTGACCAACATCGCCCGACCTAGCAGAATTATTCTAATCGCGGCTACCTTACCCAAAGCGGACTGACGAGCTGAAAATGTTGTTACGATAGATACTGGCAATCCTCCGAAACATCAGAATTAGGAGAAAAATGCGGATTTTTCTAAACAGTATTCATCGCTGATCGGGTAAATTGGAAGAAACAGAAAACAGCAGAAAATATAATGCATGTATGAAAACGTTTCTCTAGCTGCCTCGACATGATTGTTGGGCGCTTGGCTCACTGTCTCAGTTGTTTCCATAGCGTCTACAGATAAATCATTTCGTGTACGTCCTGTTCAATCCCACATAATGGTGACAATCACGAAAAGCGGCTGTATGGAAGCGATGAGTCCCAAAGATATTCACAGTCACGTAGTCCTGAATCGTGCAAGACCGATCAAGCATCAAACAGCGATTTGTGAGGCATCTGACAGTGTGGATTTCAGTGCGAATCAACGGTAGCTGACACTTCACTCAAGTGTTGGAGCTCTCTGCTTGAAACTTAACATAAAAGAATAGGGGCCGGAATTGGGCATCCAGATCACCCGACAAGATAACTATATCCGTCCTACAAATACGTTCACTTGCATATTTATTTGGTTTTGACGACAGACGCCTGAATCACCTGTTTATGATGTTTTAAGCAACTGGATGTGCTGCACAAGGCTGTTTAATATTTCAGTTGGCGGAAACTCGGGGACTACCTGATGGGCCCCAGAAAGGGAGTTTTCAGCAGCCTTATGAGCAGTATGTTACGTCCATATATCCGTCCTACTTGCTGACTGAAGCAGTCGTGAGAGATCTTGATAAAACTCGGGCTTCTCAGTCTCAGAACTGCAGTCTGTTGAGACCATGCTAATAGGACACATAAATACCGTTTATCGCATCGACTTGCATTGATCATTATTCAGCCAGACAACCGCACAGGACTAAGACGATTGCTTACTGGGATACAGTTCAGTAGGGCGCTTTTAGCTTTTAAGCTGAGTGCAACTCCTACATCGTAGGTGCCAAGAACTATCGCGTCAGGATCACTAGACACCCGGAGTTAAATGTGGAATACCTGTGCTTGTCCTAAGGGGCTTGAGGTAAAAGACCGGCGTGGCGTCATGCATACGTGTTTCGCAGACAGAATAAAAACAAAATCGTTCAGCTGTGGCGCAGTCTCGGTTCCTAGCTGCCATGTAAACAGGAGGCACGGAGGCTGGCATATTGCCAGACTGCCCAAGCCTAGACAGGAGAAAAAGCACGTCGACAGACAGAAGCAAGGTTTCAACAAGAGACGCCTATTGTCCAATTTGACTTAGAGTACGGGATTTTTGAGGCTGCAAAGTGGATCACATCATCCTAGGTTATTAAGTGATTATTTTGTTCATTCTTCTGGACGATGGTTTAGAGACGGGAGAATAGATAGGAGACTGGCGGATGGGTCAATCGCACGGCGTCATCCAATGTGTGGGGAGTCAATCAATCAATCAACTTATCGGCTATAAACCGTGTGCCGTAAGCACATTGGTTCCAGCTGCTGCAGTTTCGATCCCCGGAAAACGGGAAAGTGGAATATACAACCAAGCCTTGGAGGCGAAGGCCTGTTCGGTTTGTTCGGAAATTGGAGAGCTACGCATTAAAGGCAATAGCTTTGATGCAGTATCGCCATTCACTGCGCGATTGGGCAATTTCCACCACTGCCATTAACCACTGGTGGTTTGAGTCCCGTGGTCCTCATCCAGAGAAACGGCAGTTGTCCACCCGAATAAGTTTACTGGTTAGTGTCTTCATACTTCGTTGCCAGGTCATACACTATCTACCTCTCGGTCGCTTCCACTCAATACAAGGCTGTGAGAAAACGGCACTGTGAGGCAGACGGTCTTCTGGCATGCGGATTAAGTTCCTTCTTCCTAGGACCATCTGACGTACTTCAGCATTACTAATCCGATGTTCCCACCAGACCTGATCAATGCTGCAGACACCTATTATCAAACACTGACGGTTTCCGTATGTCCTCTGCGCGTAGGAGCCAGGTCTCTGATCGATAAAGCAGTATGGATCACAACATCGCAGTGTAACTCTTCCCTTAACGGACAAGCTCAAGTCACATCGGCGTCATAGTTTTGGAGTTTGGCAAAAGCCGCCCTGCATTTTCCATGCCAGAAATGAGCTCACCTCCAGCCCGTCTACCAGAACGTATACAGTTATCCAAGTAAACCAATCAATCTACCTAGTTGATTGACTCACCTGCAAGCATGAGGTGTGGGTTTCATCCCACCCAGTTTTGTAGCATTTTAAACTTTGAAGGTGTGAAGCGCATGCCAAACCGTGCAGCAGGGTTATTTGAGTTAGGTGTAAACAAAGGCCGGTGAGCGAGTAGCTACAAGGGAGAATGACACTTGCAAGTTGCCCGAGCCGAAGACGGTTTGATTGAGCCTTTGGTCCAAAAGTCTGACCGGCAGTGCAATGAAAGGGTGTAGGAGGGTTTTGTTCGGGAACCCTATCCATAGCCACTGAAACTTGAGGCATCGGTTGTTAGGGTTTTCTTGAGGGACTCTTCCCAAAGCCAATGGCTCAATAGTCTGACTGACTTGGTTCAAGGGGCCGGCCTAACCCGAGGACGCAGAGAATGGGGCATTGTTATCTCACCCCCAATGCGACTGCGCACAGGTGGCTTTTGAGCAGCACCGGACTCTTCGGCCTTAAAAGTAGTTCGACAGTAATTAATAAGGCGCCAGCGGTCATGGTCAGTCGTTTGGTGATGGGAGTGTGCAGTTTCAGAGGCAACCTTTTCTAGTGTATCTCTCCTTGGAGTAAGACAGGATTGCTGCTTCCGATGACATGGGCATGCTAGTCGTTTGGAGGGAACATCTTACTGGCCTCAATCTGCTATCGCATAAGGCAGCATGACTTTACCTCCAATCGCCTCAAAATACGATTACTCGCATTAAGGGGACTCGTTGGTTTTGGTCAGGCTGCTCACGGTTGGCCTTTCTAGCATGATTGAGCCTTTAGAGACTGAGTTCGAGTCAGTATAGTTCGGCGGATCAATGCAGCCTAAACACCACAACAAGGTGACAGCTTTAGGTTGGGTTACTAGTGGAGCGAATCGGAATCGCTACACAATACTCACTTACGGACCGTTTCATTACGTATGGTGACCAGCTATCTCAGAGATCATATCAGAGAGGCTAACGCTCACTGTCCCAGGTTGGGACTGCTCTCACAATTGTTCTTCTGGCTCAAAAAGTAACGCAAGTTGACGAATTTCATGCGCGCCCTGGTGACGCGTACAGTGACTATATCTGCCAGTGCAGTCGACACCTATGCACACAAAAGATACGCGTACAGTGACTATATCTGCCAGTGCAGTCGACACCTATGCAACTGTCACAAAGATCAAAATTAGCAGCGAAATCGGACAATGGGGTGAGGAATCTAGTGATATCTTGCAATTTGAATGAACAACCACACGCCGAAACATGAGACCACTTCCAACATTCGAGTAGTTTGTGATTCGTCCCCATGATTAAAGCTTAGCAATCTCTCTCCAGGTTTCGACATCCAGATTCGCGGTCCCTTTGAAGGTACACTCAACGAAGATGTTCAAGACAAAATCGAATTAAAATAGGGGAGGGGACATCTAAGGGGGAACCCCAATAGTTGTGGAGATCGTTGAACAGGTCGCGGGCCATAGCTTAAACAGATGTAAATAAGCAGCAGGAACAATGGTAACAAACGTCGAGGGCACCCCTCGTTGGCCAAGTATATATAGAAGAGTCGGCTTGTCCACGGAGTGCAAAGCTCCCTCGAATTCGAGGAAAACCGCTACAATCGGTCAAATGCTCAAGCATTTGACTTGGTGTAAAGATATAATCAGTTCATCAAATATCGGGCAGAAGTCTCGTTAGTGTTCTCGGACTCGCGTGAGGTCAGATGTTGGAGCATAATTAACGCTCGCAGCCATGCTAAAACTGTAGTAAGACTTATATCCCTATGGTTGGAACAGTTGATTCGGATACCTTTTTTGAACAGAGGTACAACGACTGATTGGCTTCAAACTGTTGGAACGCACTCTCGTGCCCAACTCATTTTAAACAATCTGGTCACCATCGCCTTTGAATAATACTGATAGCGGCTCTTTTGTCCAGCAGCCCAATGACGCTTCAAGACACAAAGGTATACTAATACTTCAGATACCGACCATAGCTCTGAAGTGAGCAGACTGAATGAAATGCACACGCACAGACGACCAACTACGTTATCGTCCAAAATATCCGGCCCGATGGCCCAGACGCCGGTTGTTCTTAATCGATCCTGCGACACTATCACTAGCCAGTTTTTCGTCTCATTTTGCTTATCAGGTGAAGGAGTTCATGGGTATTCTCAGTTGCACTAGCTGCCTTCATTTCCAGAATCCTCTGATCCCTCGTTTTATTCGCAAGCAGACAATGCTTGAGCATTTATTACCCTTCTAGCCTAGTTATGGTTAGCGGGCGAAAGTATGCGCCACCTCGTATTGAAGAGCGACAGTGACAGACAGTGACTGGTCTAAAATTTGAAAAACACTACAAGCCGAAATTCCGTCAAATGGATGGCGCGACTTATCTCATTCTCATTATGAATGGTGCTCCCTGAGGATGCGGCTATGTTGATCTGGCCTGATGTGATCAGTTGATTTATGGGTCAGAAAGTTTCTCAATGAGCAAGCAAGAAGTTTGTTTCTTCGGTCTCTCTCGGAGGAAGGTACGACATGTATCAATGTGAGGTGTCCAAAAAAACTGACAGCCGAGAAGAGCCCTGACACCACCTTCTAACGGGTCAATGATTATCTATCAGGAGGGGAAAGCTAGGTAGCGCAGCGGCGTCCATTGTATCCGAATCCAACACTACTGGGGAACAGTAGGTGATCAGTGAGGGGCTGCAAAAGACGAACACTACTGTGTGTAATGAGTCGAGTTGAACGGATCAGTAAAAAACAGACCAGTAAGTCGCAACTTTGATGACCGAGACGTTCAGCTTGCACAATGAGATCACCAACGACCAGGACAATCCCGATGAAATATCCTTGATCGCGTCAGGGCTACGGCTGGTCGGTGTACATGCGAAAACTACGGATAAAGAACGCCATTGATATCGATCAGCCTCTATCTCTTAAAAAGTCTCCAGCCAATCACAAGAGGGGTTACTGGGACCCCATCTGCGAGACTGTACTGCACCAACACTTAAAGTATTCTAAATCTCTTTCGCATCCTTCTGTCAAGTCATACGCTGTCTACCTCGCGGACTGCACCATTCTGAAGGGGCATGGAGAACGTTCGTTTCGGTAGACTGTGTCTAGAAATGCTTAGCACATGGCCAGGCTACCGCATTTAATGGTGCTGGATGTTTCCGCGATTGCTGGGACCCCATCTGCGAGACTGTACTGCACCAACACTTAAAGTATTCTAAATCTCTTTCGCATCCTTCTGTCAAGTCATACGCTGTCTACCTCGCGGACTGCACCATTCTGAAGGGGCATGGAGAACGTTCGTTTCGGTAGACTGTGTCTAGAAATGCTTAGCACATGGCCAGGCTACCGCATTTAATGGTGCTGGATGTTTTCCGCGATTGAATTACCCACCGCACAACCTAACACCCATTTTCTAATTGCCTCGTTACGCATCTCTTGACGCCATTTGACAACGGAAACGCTTTTGAAGCATTGTTGACCAAAATCCTGAAGCTACCGTCCGCAGAGGTCGCATGTCGAAACTCAGGGTTTTGGCTGAGTGAGGAAGAACAGACTCGAGCGCTAACAGCTACATTAACGCCGGCATAACCTGCTGTAGCAGACACAAAGATGCCTGAAGTTTGCAGACGGCAACTTCCATATGACGAAGGCGGATGGGATCTTTAAGTGGGACTGGAAGGAGTTAAGTGATGTTGAGTAAAGACGGGGGGTGTCAGTATTGGCTTGTATTCGCTTAACGGCCCTGCTGTATGTAGCGAAATAAATGATTCAGCAGAGAGCGTTACGCGAAGCTCACTGTGGTGTGAGAATAGTGTAGACCATGGTTGTATATGGGCTGAGATGCTGCCAGTGCAGCCTTACTTAAACAAGAAGAGGGGGCCTTTAATCAAAGCCTTTTTCCCAAAAGACTGACCACACTGTAGAAGTTGGAGTGAAGCTACCGGGGTAGGTTCCTTTAAGGGATATTCTGCCATACGTGTCCTGAGAGACTGTTAATCTAACATCTATCCACTGACCAACCTATAAAACTCCATGAGTGCGACATAGACACACTATTGTAGCTCCATGGGCCAAAGGGATACAAAATCCATTATGTGCTCCCTCGGTAAGTTTTATTTTCTTCATGATAGGAGGACGTTTATCGATGGGAGGGCGAATAGGTCTTTAGAGTTTCATTGTGTCAATAAATGGTTTATAAGGGGAGAGTGATANGCTTGTTTTTAAACAAGTAAAGCATTGCTTATCCTTGAAAACCCGGACTCAGTTCTGGCTCTTTCTCAGACACATTCTAAACGTCTCAATTTACCTGTCTAAGAACACAATGGACCCGAAGCTACGACCTCGTTCTTCGACTCCACTCTTGATGCTGCCGATGGTTTCATTCTTGATCGCTAACTATACTATCGTCACCAGTATTCCTGGAAGACAACTGTCTTTCACGTGATTTAGTAGGAAACAATTGGCTCCAGTACTGCATTTGATACAACCATTTCTACTCCAAATACTAATTTCTCGCTAGCAATTATGCGCCTGTATTTACTTCCTGGAATGCCAGATAAGATTCCTGAGGCAGCCTTCAACACACAAACAAATTCGGCCATCAGGATGATATAGTCCCTTCTTTCCAGCTGTACGTGCAATCCTAGAATAACATGCCATTGTCCAGGATTCTGAACTGACTCGCAGATAGTTGTCAGAATCCGGTACGGGAATAGGATTACCTGAGTGTATCCTTGCCTGCAACGCGGGAAGATGAGGCTAAGAATGGAGTCACAATTCCCCCACAATTATACCCTAATAGGTTTTGACTGTTCAACCCTTTGCACATCCATTATAGACAAACCAGCAGTTTTGCCCCATGTATATTGTGAACCCGTTCCCGTTCACATTTGTATCATATAAGATCACCTACTTTAACCCCGAAGATCTTAATACCAAACGTCTTTTCGACAGGCGTCTTGACCGCCGAAATCATGTCCTTCACTGAACGTACGGCGACGCGGGAATTCGATTCACAGGCGACGTCCGGTGAGTCCATCTAAAACAAGTAAGCAAAAACACCCATGTTTGTACATGTAGCCTAAGGTGCGAGTGTGCCATTATAGGAAATGTTCCGCCTCTGGACTTTTCGGTCCGATCCGGCTGTCATGATTTTGTTATGCTTATTGTTATACTTACCATACATGCACGTATGAAACCTTTGTATAAACGTTTCAGCTCGTCCACGCTTGTTTTCTAGACAGATAGAGCGTTGCTTATCTCCGGAAACCAGGACACACAGAATGTTAATGAAAGCTGGAGGAAGACCGGCTTACCACTGAGCCTTGAAAGCCGCGCCACTGAGTGGCTGACCAGTATCACTTAACCGAACAGAACAGGTACGTTGTTGTAGATAACAATATATTCTGAGAAAAGTCGCCCGGGATCCCAGAGGTGGTTAGTTTTCTAAACCACAAAGCATAATACATACAGTCAAGTGCCTCGCAGGATATCATGGTTGTTTGCCTTACAGGAGTCGAAGTGTAACGTCAGTATCAACCTCTCCCTCAATTTACTTTGTCCACATATCACTTGAAACAGGTTGGTCTGGCAGGAGCTGTTGTCGGGATCCGTGCTGCAAGGCACGCACCAAACTGATCGACAATGGCGGACCCCATGATTTTAGACAGGAGAGGGTTGAGAAGAACAGGCCGGTAGTTTTCCAAGTAGGAACTGCTTCATGTATACACTAGGATGAGATACTGTCAGGGTCCGTAAGTCTAGACGGGAGTAGTTGAGATGTCGAAGTTGGGTACAAACCATGGACCATCCGGTTAATAAAAAAATAATCGTTCAGCTATAACACCCTTTTGGGGCTTAGCTACCGTGTCACTCGAACTTACTAACTGGACCATCCGGTTAGTAAGTTCGCACCTGAATGACTACACAATTTCGAATTCCTGAGCAATATCAGATGGCAAGATCACCCACCAGGACGGACAGAGTTCTTGAAGTGGTGTTATCACTTCAAGCAGCAGAGTTATCACCTTGTGCTTGATTGCCTGGTGTCGTTCTCGCTTGTGAGTAGTTTGTGAGTAGGAAGAGCAGCAACAGCAGAAGCGACAGATATAAATGCGTACGGCGTGGGCAGAGCATTTTCCATTTCCTTTGACGGACGTGTTGTACTGCTGATAGTTTGCGGGAGCTATTCCATGGTTCACCGTTCTGACTTGAATGACATGCTTGTGGTCAGTGGTGAACATGGCCTTATCAGCTCCACCTGTTCTCGCGAGTGCAATAAATCATGATTTCCAATGAGTACTCATACCGCATGACAACACATGGAGTCTTAGTGAGGCTGCGCCAGGGTTCGTCTCCTTCGATGACACTATGGAGGTGTGGGTAGTCACAGCTTGGAAGCCGAACTTGGACAAGGTTATCATGACCAAGAGCTGTCCCAGATTGCCTTGGCTGACTGCAACTCCGGGAATGCCCAACAACCGCACCAGCTCCTGTAATGCAAGAAGGATTTTACATAGTTCATGTACGGGAAGCTGTCGCGTTCTATGTAGTCGCATACGTTACACGTATCGGGAGACGAGAATATGGGCGCCAAAAACTAGGGGTAGCTAAAAGCATACATCGAAAGCTTCTATGTAGTTAGCATTGGATTGTGAATTAAATTGTTGTTGGGTCCCTTGGAATTCGGAGACTGTACAACATAGGTGCAGGGTGGAGTGGAGCTGACCACGACCAAAATCTGTCCATCAAGAACGGTATCATTAAGTGAGCAACCGGGGAGAGATGGGATGTCGACTTCCGGTATGAGCGCATCTGATTGTTCTCGATTCGGGGCACCGGGAAGAGCCAAAAAAGAAAGCAACATCCATATCGCTCAAGTCTCAGCCGCTTGACAGACAATTGTCTCAAGGCAAATTTAGTAGTTGGTGAACGAGGGCCTGTACAGTTGTCTCCACCTAGGTCAAATTGAGTGAAAGTTTAAGCTGCTGCGGAACAGAAGCACGAATCTGTTTGGAGACCCACCGCTCTTAATGACCGAATATCGCGTCGACTGAACCGATGTGTCACGTGGGGGTGTAACGCATTTGAAACTTGACTGAATCTGCTTGCACATCTCTCATATGACCTTATACGTGCCTCTCCCTCTCTCCCCCTATTGCAGGTACCACGGACGAACCACCTCTGGAAGAACCAGAGACGTTTCAACTGGGCGACGATTTCCCGCTCTGGTCGAGTCGAATGAAGGCATTCCTTACACTGGTACATCCGCAGTATCACGAGTATTATATCCTGTCCCATCTAGATGACCCTGCCGCCCGTCGTGTACTTTATTCAGGCGTTCCGTCGTCTGCACCACCGGACATCCTCTGGACTAACTTGTCATGCCTGTTCGACACACGACCGCCGAGTCATGTCCCTCACTCCTTGCCCAACATCAACCCTCTGCCCAGCACCTCGATGCTTCACTCTCATCCTTCGTTCCGCAAATTTTCTCCCACTACTTCCACACCTGATGTTGTGTCCAGACTTGGGTACTACAACAAAACCGCCCGCGCAAGTTGATCACACACTTGGCGTCACACAAGCGGCTTATTCAAGTCCCGATAATGAAGTTGATAATAACGAAAAGCCGCCAAGAGAGACGGAAGGGAACACAGCTCGGACTTTACCTGATAACTTGAAGCAAGTGCATGAAGTGGCAGCCAACTACACAACACGTCATGTTGGTGATGTGGACGAGCGGAACCCAGCAGCTCACACTGAAGACGACGAAAACAATCAAGCTGTAGAAAGCAAGCAACAACAAACAAAAGTGGCGCTGGACGCGAACTTCAGTGCACAGATGAAGATGGACAACGCATGTAACACGAACCTGGACACAGTGGTCAACAGAGCAGACGTCTCTATAGTCATCTCACCAGCTGGGCACACAGAATATGCTGTCCATCAAACAGATGCAGTTTCGATCATCCCGCTGAATTTGACCCGTCAAAACCAAGACTTCCGTTGCCACTGCCAGCACTTCTGGAGACCGGCACCTTTTGGCTGGACAAACCCGCCTTAAAGTTGCCAACTCAGGAGGCAACGTGAGTAACGTGTCGCATCGAATGCCACTAAGCAAAAGAGCTCCTCAACGCACGCTACAGGGGTGTAGCGTGGGACGTCAGGAAGTCAGCGGTATTCGATGTTCGAGAGGATGTAGCGACGGCACACGTCGGCTCTGAAATGTGCAGATATACGGACTGGTATTAATGAATCCACACGGTATACACAGCACACATGCGCACAGGTCGGGTGGGACAGAAAAGAACACCGGAGCGTGGTAAAGACACACGTGCATAAAACCGAAACCGAAACCGGCAAACGGAGGTACAAAGTCCGGTCAAGGTCAGTCAGCGGGGTGTACAAGAGGGTACCTCTGTCCTGATCGGGGCTCATGGTGGCTCGTCTGTGGTACCTGAAATAGGGGAGAGAGGGAGAGGCACGTACAAGGTCATATGAGAGACGTGCATGCAGACACAGTCGAGTTTCAAATGCGTTACAGGTATATGGACCAAAAAACGCGCCCCGCGATTTGTCGGAAAGTCAGCCAATCGGCTTTCAGGGATTCACGGATTGATACACAGGCTAGAGGCCAACGGCCCAAAANCGTTTTTGTTCTTGTCGGTCAATGGCTGTCGTTCACCTGAAAGACACAGGTGAAAAAAGGGTGTAGCACTGCTCTTTATGTTCTCAGCGCGGTGCAGTATGCTTGCCAGCGCGAGGGTTCGCATAAATAAGTGTCTAATATGCTTTAAACTGGGTTCTAGAAGGAACGTGAACAACCGCCGGAGGAAGGTCATTCCACGCACCTACTAAACGAAATGAGAAAAAATTTGTCCAATGAATGAGTGTGCTCTGACCTTCCAAATTTTCTTACTATCTCCCCGCCGGGTGTTTGCTGCTTCAGCGGTAAAAATAACTGATGGCAAGCGTTGTTCAAACAGGGCATAAGTAA